AAAGCCTTTTATCGAAAATTCGCTTTTTACACCGAACAGTGTTTTGCCGGTTTTATCGCGGATTTTCGATTGATCATAACTTCTTCGTTATAACTCGGATTTTAGTGTTCTTTATGTTTTTGGAAACCTTGTTACAAACTCTACCACTTGCTTCATCCCAATTACGATTATTGATCAATTTATTTTTGACCAAAATTTGACCGGTGTCACAATTTGGTTGATCATTGAACTCTTCATTCTTCATTGTTTATTGAATTCTTTAATGGAAAAAATGAAACTTTTTAAAATTTTAAATATATCTTTCATTGAACTTTACAAAGTTCAATACATTGCAGAAAAATTTTGTTAGATTTTCTAAACAATAAAATGATTACTTGTCATATGGAGATTGCAAGGTATTTTTGGTAAGATAAAAAATGTTGTTTACTAATAACTTTCTCTTTTACTAATGACCTCTACATTGCACCATAACATGTTGGTCTTTGACATATATTTAAGTATGAGAGCTCGAGTGGGAGTTGTGTTTATTTTGTTAAAATCTAGAAAAATATGGTTTTATGATGACTTTAGGGGGGCGTTTGGGATTGCTTTTCAGGTTAAAAAGTTCTTTTTACAAAATAATTTTTTGATTTTTGGCTTTTTACAAAAGAAGATTTTAAAAAGTGTTTGGTTTATCTTTTGAAAAAGTAGAAGCTAAAACCCAAAAGTTACAAAAGTCACTAATTCATGACTTTTGAAAGAGTAGGGATGTTAAAAAGTCCGGTAGGACCCCGTTCCCGTGAGGGCCCCGTCCCGTTTGGGGGAATTTTTTTAAAAAAATCGGGGGCGGGGACGGACACGGGGGCAAGGTTAACCTCCGTTTTAATTTCGGGGGCGGGGGCGGGTGTAGGTAATGCTGTCCTGAAACCCTCATAGGGATCCCGTTAATAAATTACACATATATTTACATATATTAATTATATAAATATAATAAACAATAACATGATTTTGAGCTTCCAAAATTCATCAAAAAACAGGTTTTTAAGTTGTTAGTATAATGTTTTTAAGATGTCATAACTTTTTTTATTTTTAACATGTAAAATTCTGCTATAAATAATTATTTGTTACCTAAAAAATAGTTTCTTTTAGAATAACAACTTCTTTTAGCCCAAAAAAAGGCAGCCCAAAATCAATCGGGGGTGGGGTAATAAAGGGGATTCGGGGGCGGGGGTGGGGTAATAAAGGGGATTCGGGGGCGGGGGCGGGGTAGGAAGGCTGTACATTTCGGAGGTAGGGACGGGGACGGGGGAACAGAGAAATTTCGGGGGCGGGGGCGGGGGACGCACTTCCCGTCCCGTTTGCCCCCGTTGACATCCCTATGAAAGAGCCCTCTTTTGTTCTTGACAAAAATTGACTTAAAATGTTTTTTTAAATTGTTAAACATCTTTTTTGACTTTTAACTTTTTGAAAAAACCAAAAGTCTTAAAAATCATTCTAATATTACAAACACCCTCTTGCTATCTCAAAATACCCTATTTTTGCAAAATTTTATTAATTAACCTATTTTGCTAGGAAAAAAAAATCTACATGTGTTCTCTGTCGTCCTGGGTAAATTGACGTGTTCATCGAGTCAGCTTTTTCAAAATTATGATCCCTTTTTTTGGCCTTCTTGGGATTATCGTTAAATGATGGTATTTAACATGGTTCCTTTTTTAAAAGACCAGATCTATATTTTGTTCATTTGTTGGGTATGTTACTGAACTGTGGATTTCTTTATATGACCTATAATAATACTTGCATACAGTAATCATAGTCGAAAAATGTGGGAACCTCAAGTTTATATCCCTGTAATTGTTGTTGCAATATTCACTGTATGTGTAGCCATTGCAGCATTCACCATTTACATGATCCTACGGAGGAAGAAGACAAAGCTGCATCATGGTTCTTTATGCAACAAGAGCGTCGATTTGGAGCTTCAACAGTTGAGTTTAAGTATACGCACGGTTAGCGAAAACAAAGTCTCGTTTGAATCTTCTTCACAGAAGGTGGTGGTGGTGATGGAAAGCTTCACGGTGGAGGAGCTAACTGCAGCCACCGCAGACTTCTGCTCCAGCAACCTCATCAAGGGCAGCGTGTATCACGGCCGCCTGAACGGCAAGAACTTGGCGATCAAGCGCACAGATCATTTCACCATCTCCAATATCAACTTTGAGCTCCTTCACGATGCAACACATTTCCACCCCAATCTGATCAGGCTGTTGGGGAGTTGTACAGGCGATGAAGAAAGCGGCAGTGTGGTGGCCGGAGGTGGGTTTTTGGTGTTTGAGTATGCGAAAAACGGGTCTTTAAAAGACTGGATTCATGGTGGATTAGCAATAAAGAGCCATTTCATTGCTTCATGCTACTGTTTCTTGACATGGAACCAGAGGCTAAGGATCTGTTTGGATATCGCCACTGCGTTACAGTACATGCATCAGATAATGAATCCAAATTACGTTCATAAAGACATCAAGAGTCGGAATATTTTTCTAGATGAAGACTTCAACGCCAAGATTGGGAATTTTGGCATGGAAGAATGCGTTAAAAACGATCACTTTCCCAAAGAAGTAGAATCTTCTTCATCTTCTTCGTGGGATAGAGGGTACATCGCACCTGAACTTTTAGGTTCAAGTGCAGTCGATCCGGCTCCGAGCACTGATATCTATGCTTTTGGGGTGGTTTTACTTGAGATTTTATCAGGAAAACCACCAGTCAGCAGCAATAAATCCGAGAGCGAAGAAGAAGGGGGTGTTACTGTTTTACTATCTGAGAAAATCAAGTTTATATTACGATCAAGTACTATTGGTTCTTCTGCGGAACTGAATGAATTTATGGATAACATGTTGGGGGAGAAGTATTCGTTTGATGCAGCGATCACGTTAGTGACTCTTGCTAGAGCGTGTGTAGAGGATGATCCGATGTTGAGGCCCAATGCCGGAGAAATTGTGCAGAAGTTGTCTAAACTGGTGGCGGAGTTCTTACCAGAATTAGGGGAGGAAGAAGAGCAAATCGCCATCAGTGAAAGCTCTTGTAAACCTCTTGTTATCAAGAACATTAGCGATTAACAAATAATCAGCTCCTTCACCTTTTCAATAATATGTAAATAATCAGCTCGTTAATAGTACTTAGTTATATATTTCTATTATACATATAACATATGTGCAATCATACTTGATAGGTATATCTTTAATAACTCACTTTATATGTCAAGGGTTCATTCGGTTTTTTAGACCGGATAGTCTGGCTTTTTCTTTGTAATTACATTAACGGATGTTTGTAAGTGTTATAATTCTTGTAGTTTCATTTGTTTTCACAATTAAAAAATTTATAATGATTGATATTTTATAAACTATAAAGTAATAAATCATAGCAAGTTAATAATGTATTCTTTGACCAGTCTATTGAGTTTTTGATCCATGAGTGTTCATTCTGAATTTGTGGTTATTGCAAAGCATACCAAAGAATTAGTAGACAACTTGGAATTTACAGATTTGATACAAGAATCTTATAGAAAACACGATGATGAGAGAGACTCAAAGCTTGTATTAAACATCTAATTATTAGCCTAAAATATGAATGAATCTTGAATTCAAGTTGTATCTACTGCTGCTACGTGTCATTAAAGTGCACCCTCTGATTTCTGTTCATAATCAGCTGTGGTCTGTACTTGAGCTGCATACTGCAAGTTCCACAACACATCTTCAAATGAAGGCCGATTTTCTGGTTCTATTGATATGCATTTATTGGTGATTGATATCACAATTGATAATGATTCTTGTGAGCATGTTGTTAACACCACTGGATCCACAATTCTTTGCCTACCATCTTGGCTTCCAAACGATTTCTGTTGCATTACACAAGAAAAAAGATTCATCTTTATAAATCTTGTTCAAGAAAATCTTACAAATTATATATCACAAACCATTTCATTCAGCAGAAATGTTTCGCCTTTTCCTGTCACAATCGGCCCCACAAGTGCTTCGAGCAAAATGAACCCAAAGTCATACACATCATCTGCCAACTTCTTCATATGCCTGAAACATTTGAGTTAAGAAATTATTCTTTTTGTTACACTGGACAAGACTGGATGGGATGAGAAGGGCATTCACGTCTTTTGTCCCATTGACACATGAGTATCATATCAAATGTTTATCAAGAATTAATATTATAGGGTTTGTTACCATGATTTTGGGGCGTCTCCCTTTGCCTACATCACAATAATTCCATGTTAGGACACAGATTTGAAGGACACAAATTTGAGTAAAAAATCAGAGAAAGAGGGAAGGAAAAACCTCAAACTGTTCTAATTCTTCTGTAATAATGGACATTCCATAGTCACTTAGCTTTGCAATACGATGCTCATCAAGCAATATATTATTTGTTCTTAATCGATTGCTAGAAGAAGCAGGAATTACACCAGTATGCAGAAAATGAACAGCCTTAGCAATCCCAATCAGAACAGCCAACCGATCAGACCATTTGAGAATCTGATGTGGAGAACACCCTGCAAATGTTGTTTGGATAAATGATGTTTAATAAATATTTGAAAACAAAGGGACTGACTTTCTGTATTAAGTCGGTCTTTCTGCATTAAAGACATAGCTTATCAGATTAAGTCATGTCTCAAAAAAAATATAATAATAACCTGAGAGATGAGTCCGGAAATTTCCATTTGATATATATTCATGCACTAAGAAGACTCTGCTTGAAGTGGTATCTTCTAAACCCACGTCATTAATGCAATAACCCAAAAAGTTAACAAGATGGGGGTGTCTAAGCTTTGACAGCAAATCCAACCGAACTTTCAGATTTCTGATTGAATATTTTTTATATAATGAGAGAGATCGTATGACAATATAGCCTCCATTTTCCAATCTTCCCTTGTAAAGCTGCAAAAAGTAAGCAACTTTTTTTAAGTTGTTTGTAACATGATTCTGACTTTTGAGGTCAAACCTGATAGTTTAAAGAAACGAAATGAAACAAATTTAATCATGGATTTCATATGTGTGCTTTTTTAAAGTAAAGTATGGTATTATAAAATTAATGGGATTGTGAAGTGTTGCATCAAATTTTGAAAAGGAAAACCAAATTTAAGTTGGAATTTTGGGTGATTTGACCTCAAAAGTCAAAACTTGGCTTTAAACATTCGATTTAAAGAAAAGCAGAAACTATTCTATGATACCTTTCCAATTGAACCTTCGCCTAGAAACATTGATGAAGAGAAATTATCCGTGGCTTCTGCTAACTCTTCTATAGAAAACACACGACATGATGGTGCAACTTGAGTCCCTAGCTTAGATGCTTCCGATATGATCCCTGAGACCAAAATGGTGCATTTAGCCCTTTTTTATTATTATTTTACACTACAATTTATGTTCGACATATGTATGGTTTATATGCTAGATCTCTATATGAACCAGAAATAAGAATAGTTAACATAACTTACTGGCATTTGCAAGAACTTCAGAAGAAATCCCTGAAGGTAAACTTTCCTGGATAAACTTTGGCACTGTGTGCTGTAGTGTAACAGTCTCTCTTTGATTATACCTTTTATGAAAGAATAACCGAATAAAGGCAACTATAACCAAAAAGATCACCATCAAACCAATCACACCAATTGTAACCCATATGGCTGCACTACCCCAAGATTGTTTCTTCTTCACATTACCTTCTTTACAGATTGAATCTGAATGCTTCTGGTTGTTAACCCCAGACAAGCAATTCCCACTGAACTTCACAACTCTTTTGTTGCTAGAATTCGTATCCAAACAAGGAGGAAGATTACCGGTTAACCTATTGATTGAAATATCAACAAACCCTAGATTGTCGCCACATTTTATAATGTTATCAAGGGACCCACTTAACATATTGGATCCAAGATTCAGATAACTTATGTTTGGCAAGGAGAATAGATTGGATGGTGGCGTGCCCACCAAGGAATTGGATGATAGATCAAGGTGTTGCAGTCGATTAAGTTTACCAAATTCTTCAGGGATTTGGCCCTTGAATGAACTATTGCTCAAAAGAACTGTAGTAACTCCTTTGGGTAACAACGGGAGTTCAGAATCGAAATGATTGTCTCTCAAATCCAATAAATTTAAACTAGATAAGGGGGTCAGATCGGGTAATTTACCGTTGAGGTTGTTGTGAGAAAGAGCAATTTCAGTGAGAGTTGTGATTTTGCAAATTGAAGAAGGGAACTGACCGTTGAATTTGTTGTTTCTCAAGCTCAGAATGGTGAGGTTTGATAATGAATCGAACCAATTGGGGATGGATTCATTGAAGAAATTTCCATCTAATGTCAAAGTACGAAGCTTTACGAGCTTTGAAATCTCATTTGGAATAGAACCGAATATGAAATTTGAGCTCATGTCTAGAAGTTCGAGAGAGGAAAGCCGATGGATTTTTTCAGGAAGTGGGCCCCAAATTCCTAACGACACTAAGCTAAGCACCCTTAAGGAATTCAATCTTGCTAATGTGACTACTAATGAATCAATGGAGAAAGTTTCAGATAAAGTTTGATTTTGAACTGCATACCCATGAAAATCACTAACCTTTTTAAGCTTGTCTCCCATGATTTTGAGCTCGGAGATTGAATTACCTTCACATTTGATGCTCACTTGTGGGTTTGAAACCAAATTACAAAAATCACCATTGTAATTTTCCCAATTGCTTAATTGCAGTGGGTACTCCAAATGTTTTCTGAGTTGGAGAAGAATCTGAGTTTGAGTTGATTGTAATTGATGGGTGCTTGAGATAAGGAAACCCAATGAAAGAAACAGCATGAAGAACACCAAATTTGAGCAGTAGCACCCCATCTGGTAACGAAATTTGACTCCAAAAGTTTGTTTAATGAAACCCTAAAACTATCTCCTTGAATTGAACATGAAACCAATGGATCCCCATTCAAGATTCTCAACAATAGAGCAAATTAGCATAAAAAAATGAGATAAAGACAAGGCATGAGATTAAAGTTTACAACTTTATCATTCAAAACTACTTAAAGGAAGTAGTCAGAGCATTAAAAGCATGAATCTGAGATAAATCATTATAAAATATAGAAACCAAATCAACATCCAACTGGGTGATAGAGATTTGTGTAATGAATGCTTGGATTGAATCGAGATAAAAAGAAAGATAAAGTTAGTTAAAAAAAGAATGTTTGGGGAAGCTGGTTTTAGAGGGGAAGTTAAAGGGAAGAGTACAAAGGAGACAACCAAAGACAATAGGGTTTGGTTGTGGGCAATTAAGGCACCGTGTTTTATGCAAAATGGGATCGTGACTGTCGTAAATAAAAGGCAGAAAAGAAAGGAAGGAAGGAGGTGCAAATAATGGAGGGTGGTTGGAAGCACCGAAGAAGACACTGGTGAAGCATTTAATGGAAAGCTTCTGCCATTGTTGAAGGGAAGAAGAAGACCAAGATCAAGAAGAAGAAGAAGAAGAATTGGACTGTGTAGAGATTGTAGGGTAATGTTCAATCAACATAAAGATTGATGGGGTCGGTTGTAGGGTAATGTTTTCAGAGTTCCGGAAAAGACAAATGGGAAATGGTTATATTAGGGTGCTAATTGACTACATGACAAAGATAAAAGGATAGCTGGCAAAAAGTAGACTCCCTTTGCAGTGGGACTCCCATATGACAATATCATGTTATCATTACCTTAATCATCCGTAAAACATCTAAAATATGGGTTCTTCACCAAATTATACAAAATAATTGTTAGGTTTAGGAGAAAGCACTATTGAAATCGATGAATAATCTGGATTTTTTTTTAAAAGATTGTGTGATATTTTTTGAATTTGATATGTTGATTTTATGTGTAAATTACATAAAATAATTATTGAGAATATATTTCTAATGTTTTTTTTTCTTTTAAAAATAATTGTTTTTATAATATTTTGTCTAACGGATTGTATTATCTTATATTATTTTTATGGTATTTTCTTTGTCTGACAAATAATATCTATTATGAAAACAATTTTTTTTTCTTTTAAAAATAAACGTTTTTATAATATTTTTGTCTTACGAATTGTATTCTCTTACATTAATCTTATGGTATTTTCATGACTATTCTGTAAAATTTATTTTTTCCATGAATTATGGAAAAATATCTTGTATATTTAGTTGTTTCATAACATCCAAATCAAAATTTAGTTTTTATTTTTTCTGGCCATCTTCAAATAAACTTTTTCGGTCTATCATCTTCAAAGAAAATTTTCTTTTTTTTGAAAATTATTCACAAATGAGATATTTAGAAAAATGTTATTAGTAATAGAACATGTAAGAAGGCTAATAATGTTTACAAGTATTTTTTTAAAATTTATGAATCATTCTCTTAAACTTGTAATCAGATACAATTAAAATGGGTTTAATGGATTTGATGTCAAGAAAGTTATATTTAACAAATCATCATATTAGGTTATATGTTTTGATATATAGTAACATTGTATGTTGTTTATGGTAGCAAGAATATATTGGTTTGATATGTTTTGATATATAGTAACATTGTATGTTGTTTATAGTGGCAAGAATATATTGTATCGATTGGGTGCAAATTGATTGGGTGGAAGGGTGTTGATTGGAAATCAGTTGGTTGTGAAAAGAAACCAAGTAGGTAGCTTTATACATGTGTTATGACTGTTTAACCATACTTTTTTTATTGTGTTCATCAGTATAAAGATAAACATGTTCTTTAGATAGGGTTACATAGGGACCGATAGTATAGATGATATCTTTGTGGTTCATGATTCATAATGATATCTTTATGGTTCATGATTCAAAAGTATCTCATACGGTAGTGTGGAACTAGGTAAAATGAAGGATCCAATGTGTATGGAACCACTAATAATTTTGGGTGTATGCATCCCCCAATACCTAATCCACTCACACGACACGTTGTCATGCCTAGAGTACCAATATGTTATGGCCATACTTCACATGTCAAAACCCGACAAATGTTTAAAAACAAATATGATTTGAAGCTAGATTTGGGATTGAAATACATTGAAGATAATTTTTACATACAAACCAAAAATCTTGAATTACATGATGGAGGAAGTATGTCTTTTTGAAAATTATAAATGATGTTGTAGGGCCTAACTAGTACGAGATATTGATGTTGTTGGAGTTTGGTGATAACAAAAAGATTTTAGAGTTACGATGACAAAAGCTAGAATTACAATTAAAATATTAATATTCCTAAAACCATGGATCTAACTAAAACAAAAAGTAGATCAACTAATAACCAGTTATATTATGTTAGAGATGTTGGAAAGTGTGTCTAAGGTTAATAACTATTGATAATATTTCTAATAATAACAGGGTTCTTTTGAGTTGCCCTCATAACCCAATTAAGCATAATAAATAAATGAGAAAATAATTTTATTAATTTATTATAATTTAATAAATTAATTGGGAATTAGTTTGAAATTAATTAATTGATTTTAATTAATAAAATGGGTTAAATATTAATAACTTAAAAGGTTAACCAACTAGAATATTCCAGTATCCTTAAAGGATTAGGAATTTTCGAAAATGCATCTAACCCACTTGGGATTGGAGATGTATTTGGGGTAGGGATCTAAGCCTATAAATAAGGTATTGTAACATCCCAAAAACCATAAGTAAAAAATTTCATTTTTAATTCTGTAACACCCTGTTCTGAAAGTATCCGTTCATGGATTTTAGAGGCCAAGGCTAGGGGAATTTTGGTCTTTTATGGGGTTTGAGTTTTTATGCGAGAGGTTTTGGGCCTGGGTGTGTCACTAGAAGCGTAGGGCTTCTCGCCGCCTTTTCGTGGATATAAAGTTCGCCGGAAACGAACCTCGGATAAGGAAGATACGACACTTTGAAGTTGTTGACATTAATGGTCCCTTAATGGAAGAAGTTGGCAAGAAGGACCATGCATGCAAAGTGGAAGGCGCGAGGGTACGCCAACATAAGCTAGGTTATGCCCAGCGTATAAAGGGAAATGGTCACTGGTGCTTTTGGTGTACGCCCAGCGTACGTCCAGAGTCCAGAAACCCTAAAATTAGGGTGTGCCACTATATAAGGAACATTATACCCTCAAGGTTCAGCCTCCATTCCACCCTAAAGAGCTGCTACGAAACCCTAAACCCTCTTGAGTGTTCTTGGAGCTTGTAAGGCTATTTTGAAGTGCATTTTAGTGTTCTTGGAGAGGAGTAATCATCTTGGAGTCTCATTGATCAAGGAAGAGCTTTTAGATCCAAGTTCTCCAGCTCATTTACAAACCCCAGAAGGTATAAAGCTTCCAACTTTCCTCATAGAAGCTTAGATCTAGGTTTATGGAGCTTTGGACATTTTTAGGTGTAACGTCCGTAGATCCGGGCTAGTTAATTTAGAGGCAATGAGTGTCGAAAACGAATTTTCGGCAAAAGATTATTTATAAT